GCCTCAGCCTTCTGAGTAGCTGGAACTACAGGCGCGCGCTACCACGCCCAGCTAATTTTTGATTTATTGTAGAGAAGAGGTCTCACCAAGTTGCCCTGGCGGGTCTTGAACCCACGGGCTCAGGCGATCCACTCACCTCAGCCTCCCAAAGCGCTGGGATTACAGGCTGAGGCACCCAGCCCGGCTTCTGTTTTTTTTTCTTTATAAGGCCTTAGAAATTAAGCATATTTGCATACTAATGGGAATGATGCAGTGGGAAGAAAAACCAAGATCTCAAGTGGTGAGCTGACCTTAGCTGGGAGCAGGATCTCTTTGTCCCAGTCACAGGAGGGAGGGCAGGGCAAAGGGTGTTGAGACAGGTAGGTGGGAGGTGGGTGGAGAGGAGTTTTCAGAGTCTCTCCTGGTGGCTTCTGTTTCCTTAATGTGTGGGAAACCAGGCGGTGAGCCAAGAGTGAGAACCAGGGATGGAGAAAGCACTGGAGGACTGGAGAGAGAGCTGAGATTTGGATCTAGGGGCGTGGGCAAGTGACTGGACTGGAGAGAGACTGCTGGGACAAGGGGCAGCGCTGAGGGACCCCCCTTGCACTCGGGGTTTTGAAATGACACTCGTTGCCACGGGTGGGTGTCTTCTCACCACGTTCAGTGACTTGGACGGGTTGAATGAGCTTACCAGCTCTGTGGCCAGGCCTGTGTGATAAAAGGGCGGGGCAAGGAGCTTGAAGGCCTATAATTGACCTTGAAACTTAAGCTAGGTAAGAGGGAAGTGAAGATGTTGGAAGGAGAGGCAGGAGAGAAGAGGAACAGCGGAAGGCGGGTCAGATCGATGAACTGGGGGTCTAATAAGGCAGAGAATTGTTGGGGTCACATATGACAGAGAGTTTATCCTTTACCAAACTTTAGTCAGGTTCCCGAGTCCTCTTCTCTACCAGGCCTCAATGTTGTGTCTCCCCAACTGCCTTTGCTGTGTTCGGAGCTGAGTCCGATCTCTCCTCCCTATTGCAACAGTCCTGATGCCAATAGCAACAGCCCTGAATAAAGTCTCCCTTACTGTCTTAACAAGCAGCGCTTAACTTCTTTCTTTAACCGGAGCACTAAAAGAGGTGGACCGAAGAGGAGGAGTTGCACTTACTGGTAAACACAAGGTCCAGGCCCAGCCACTGGGGTAACAGGGTAGGGTGGAAGGCGAGATGGATGGAGAAGCAGAGTTCAGGGCCTGACAGGCCAGGGTGTTGGAGGTCTCATCACTGTGGATGTTGAAACCACCAAAAACTGCAGTCATGGTATAGGCAGCAGGGACGACCCCTGAAAGTGCCAAAGTCTCATTGCTCATGAGATCTCTTCCTGGCAGAGTCACACGTGGGCTTGGTTCAGCCCTTTCCTGTCCTGGCGAAATACTGGTGATAATCTACAGCTAAAGAACGGTGCCAGAAAAAGCCATGTTCGTTTTCTGAGGCTCAAATAACAGCGTGACTATCAAGGACTGTGTAGAAACCAGGAATGCATTACAGAAGCCCTCCAAGCTTCAGTTTCCCCATTTGAACACTGAAATAGCAGCACCTGCCTCGCAGAGTGGGTCACGCATATGGATGCAAGGAGTACTACTGAATCCTTGAGGTGTTGTTTTAAAGTGCCTGTTAGCTCACTGAAGTCTCACGGCAGCCGTAGCCGAGAGGTTCTAGTTTATGCCCGTTTTACAGACGGGCATAAACTGCAGTGCGGCTGTTGATGGGAACGGCACGGAGGGAGGGAGGAGTCCCAACCCTCAAGCTGGGTTCACGAGTTCACAAGTTCCCCGATCCTGCTGGAGGCGAGAACGCCGTGCGGGCAGCGGGCAGCGGGCA